TATTATAATAAAAATACTGTATTCTCATAGTCCATACTATGAATTTATAAAGTCAATAAACAACTATCATCACCGTCATCAGATCTTACTTCTGTGTCGACAACACGACTGTTGATCGCCTTGACCACACTATTGCTTCATCGCCACTCGCTGCGGCTTGTTCCGTAGGAAATCGAGCTTATGTTAACATTCCGCGCGCGATTAGCACATTTTCGCCAATAACTCACCTTGCATACGATAACTCACTCCACAATCTATTTATTTATACTTTCATGCACAAAACAGTACATATGGCGGACGTAATGCCATACAGCATACCCTCTCAGTCAACCATTAGGCTAAACAGAGACAGAAATAATAAGTGGTGCAGCAATAATCAAAATAGAAAGGGTTAAAAAATCACATATTTAAATATATACTTAAAGAAGACAGACATATATAAGTAAAGTAGACTGTAATTACTTATATTTCTCCATATTTCTAGTTAGTTTCTGATATCACCACAATATTACACGAATAAGCCCATGGAATTATTTTAAGGCATAGTAAATAATCTTATATAAGTTTACATAAACCATGTTTTTATTCATAACGAATTTTTCTTAGAAAAATGTTGTTTGGCGCTTACTTAGTTTATTTCCGATCGCGTGCTCGGTATAGCTATCTCATTTGCGTACATGATTGTAATTGCATCACTTTCATTTTGACACTCCGTCAATCGTCCGTGAGCTTCGTCGACAAGGAGCTAAGCCACGGCTCCAATATTTCAATTAATTTTCAAGGTACCCTCCAAGTACTAATTTAGCACGCACGTAGATGTGATGACATATTTCAAAGATATTTAAAATAGTAGTTAGTATGTGCCATTCATTTACCTATTTCTAACGCCAAATAACAGTGCTTGCACTGCTGTTATCCGGTCTGTAGGATAAAGAGAGCTACTATAGTTACAGGATCTGACACTTCGGTTTACAGAACTTTATTAACTCATAGAAGAACATAGTTCACTTATAATGAGCTTATAAACAATTTTACAAAAAATAAAGTATAATATTTAAACATGTCCAGCACATCGCACTTTTTCAGTAGTGAACGCGTTAAAAAATGTTATGGTAAATGTAACTTGCGACTTTGTGACTTTTCAACTAAATCCTCAGAGGAGCCATAAACCTGCTCCGCCACTAGGATCAGGAAGGCTAGTGCTTCCAAGTGCTCGTTTTTCCTGGCCTCCGCGTATCGAACTCGAGAGCATGAGTTGAGCAGATGGAAGTTTTAATCGGTGCGAGTCCGACATAACCCGTCCTTGCTCTTGGCGTGAATGCGTAGGTATTTGCCGATGTAAAAAGGTATGAAAACGTTTCCTCACTCCCCGCTATTGTCGAATGAAAAGCACAAAAGTAGGAATTTCATCCCATAAATCACTTATTAATTATATTTATATATAAAAATTACCTGTCACGTTGTTTGTCCGCGATGAACTCCTAAACTACTGAACTGATTTCAATGAAATTTGCACACTGTGCGCAGTTTGGTCCAACTTAACTTAAGAACAACTTAAGAACAACGTCTGCCTGGCCAGCTAGATATATATATATATATATATATATATATATATATATATATAGTGGCGATGTAAGAATATCCGCGACCCCATATCGTTCCGAGGGTGTCACGAAATGAAATGCAGCAGCATCTTCCTGATAACAACTCAAAATTGTAAGAAACTACGGTTGCCGATCCCCTTGCTAAGCGTGGCAACTATGGCGAAATCCCCCATGCGGCAATCTATGAGGGAGGCCTGTGTTCAACAGTGAACTTTCATAGGCTGTGATGGATAATGGATGGAAATAAAATTTAGAATTAACTACCGATTTTGTTACTATTTCTTAGGCTACACTACACACATATTCGAATTTCGAACCAAACGGTTTGCTAAATCGTTCATCATGCGTACAGCAAAGGAGTGGAATAAGTTGCCAGCATCTGTGTTTCCATCCGAGTATAATGTGGATGTCTTCAAGGCAAGAGTGAATAGGCTTTTGTTAAGTCAGTGCACTTCACCATTTTAAGGCTACATCAACACTTACCATCAGGTGAGATTGTAGCTAAGCGCTGGTTTAGAATAATATAAAAAGAAGACACAAAACATTGCTCTATAAATGAAGCTAAAAAAAAATTGTTTGTTTCCTGACTCGCTTCATATATCATATAAAATATATTCTAATATCTAACATATCTCTTAATGTTTGTTCGTTTGTACATTAATTATTAAATTTTAAATTTAAATTTTATGTTTAAAAAACCAAGCGATAACTAAACATAAATTGTTAATGCTAAATGGGTAACCACGATACAGGATTACCTAGTGTGGGTACCAATGGATACTTCAATGAATTGTAGTTGGAGTAGTCTGTTAAATAAACATTTTTCATTCATTTTCATTTGCACTAGCGGCGAGCGCTGCGACCCTAGCTACTCTGTTAGGTCAGTTTGTATGAAAGTAAAGCAAAGTTACAACCTCCATACGTCCCACCGATGGACACAAGCCTGCTCTCGTTTCTGGGCGGACTGCAGGACAATGAAATATCCGCCACGATGCTCCAATACGTGCCGACGGATTTCACATATTGTGTTCGCAATACATTTTTTTCTTTCTTGGACATTCAGGTTTTATCCACCATTTACCGCCGAAAATTTCATTATTAATTTAGCGCTTGCCGCTAGCAAGCGCTATGCCCTGAACTACACAAACTAACTTTAGTATTTAACATTTTACTAATTATATCAAATTATAATTAATAATGATTTTACGATAGAATACCGCTAAAATTTAAAAGCGTTTTAACATTATTCTTTTCATTTATTTAATTATTAAAAAATGGTTACAGCATCATAACTATTCCATACTACTTATGAACTTATAGATTCAACTTTTTACACATAAATATCAAAATATAATCAATATAAAAATATGCATTGTATCAAAGCGAGTAACAAATTACAATTGATAATTTTCGACACAAACATTCTATACTAATGGAGAACTTAACATATAATTAACACCCCAACATTATTCGTCTTGCCTTTCCCGTAATTAATACTAAAAATCAAATTGGAATTTATTGTGGCATTTTTTTGTCTTTCTTTTTATTTGAAAACAACGTCAATACGGAACAGTAACAATACTACGTATATTGTTTTTATGTAGATAGAGTCACGCTGCAACTGAATAATAGCTAAAACACGAATAGATCAGCTGTACTAAACTTTTAAAATCATATGGTTAGGGTAACAAATAGAATATTGCCTGAAACGTTATTTTATTCATCCTTAGTGATGAATATTTTCTCGAAATTTAAATCAGAACAGCCTTGAAGTGTTTTTAATTTTTATATTTAATAAAAAGAGATATCTAATATATAAGCTAATATATAAAAAATAGTATTTGTTTGTTTGTATTTTATGCGCTGCCATACTATTCATCAGATTGTGATAAAACTTTGTCAACTTATTGCTTGCACCTGTGCAAAGGTTATAGCCATAGTACAGTTAATTAACAGTAGGTGGCGCGCGTATCGCAACGACAAATTTATTTGAAAATTATAATATATTATTCAACTTTAATATGTGTATTATCATTCCTAATTAAACAATAAAAATTTTCCAAATTTAAAGCGATATTTCCACAATTATTTTTCTGTGGTTGCAACGTGCCTGGTACCAGCCAGTTTATTATAAAAAAGAATCAATAATATTGTTTGGCGATATCACATAACGTACGAAAAATATTCGATATAAGTGTTTGAAGTTTGATTATTTACTAAGAATAGATATTTGTATATATCTGTGGCTATAGAATCCGTTAACCACCTGACAAACTACGTGCTGACTTATCACCCCTACTTGTAAAAAATTATCATCCCAACAAAGTGCAACCATGTGATATATCAAAAAACTAATTTATAATCATATTTTTTATTATTACCTGGTATAATACTGGCATTTTGTAAAGTATTTTGAAAATCCTTTCACCTATCTCCTATCACTATAAAACATTTTGTTAGTAATTATTTCTTTAAGTTTTTAATAACTAGTTAGTTTTCATAAAATTTTTTATAATATAAATCGACCTAGATATGCTTAAGACTTGCTTACTAAATTTAAAATATGTTTCATAATACCACAAGAAGTAATGAAGTGAGGTATAATAATATTTGACAGATTTCACAGCAGGGAAGTTAATTTGTTCGGAAAATGTAAAGGTTCATGTTTCTCTCTGTACTATTAACTATATTTGATATTATTAAGACTAAAAATAAATAAACCAAATAAATAAAAAAAAGTTTAAAATCTGCAAAAAATTAAAGAGCAAACCAGGCATGAGGCACTGTTTTGTGTATTAATATAATACTCTAGAAAATGATAAACTTTAATTAAAAAACAACTTCTCAATTAAATGATATTGTGTAACAAAAAAACTTTACCTCAGTGTCAACTAACGACATCTGGTGAGCAGAAAATTATTAGCCCTCATTAAGTACAGAAAAAATACTAGCGACATAATATGTATAATAAAAAATAAAATAAAAATACAAAAATACGAACGTCGAATTAATATTAATGCAGCTTGTTTGTTTGGTGCAAGGCCGCAGGTACTGCAATCACCAGTCCACCTGCTACGCGAATAATTGCAACATTTCCTTCCTAAGACATACCTTATCTAGCAATAAGATCTTACGATAACGGCGTCATATTACTGGTAAATAATTAGAAAAATTTACTTATACACACCTCTATTTTAATATAGATCAACTTTCATATACATATTTTTTATTTTTGAACTTTTTCCATTAATATTATATCCACATCCAGTAATATTATAACAACAACAGCTTCCGGTAATACAACAGTTATAAAAATCTTCAAAAGAATTTTACTAAATTAAATTAATATGAATATTTTTTTAAAATTACATGCAATTTTATCTACCTAGTTTAAAATCACGCTTTTGGGAATAACTCATCGTAAGGTATCATATTAGTTATTTTATTAGCCGCATCCAGAATTATGTTAGATACTCCCTTCTCCGCAAAGGGCTTCACCGCTTTCATTAATTCTGCTTTGTTTTCGTTGAGAGCCATATTAGTTACTTCTTCTGAAAATGAAAAAAATAATGTAAAAAATAACAGTCAGTGTTTAGTGTTCACCTAGGGTCCTAGTCAATAGCTGATAAACAATCCTGAATTTAAGCTCCTACCGATTCAATGGCCGTAGCCTGGTAAGCTAAGTAAGCATTCGTCTGCGGCACTGGGAGTCGAATCAAATCTCGAACATTGTGTTACTACAAGTTATTTTTCTGCGTCTGGATGTTTGTGTAAATGTAATTTATATCTGTAAAATATCTCTTGAGAAAATCCCAGTGTGGAGGTTTTACGATTTTTTTATTTATGTAGACAAACAATAAGAGGGTTGTGAAGTGCCGATACGCAGCGCGAGTAGGTTTACAAAAATGCTATCTGTTTCATACCGCTCGCTCTGTATCTAATTGCAAACCCTGAAGGCAATTGCCTACATTTCAATTATTATATTTATATTATGATTATTCTAAATTTACAATTTTGGTCTCATTAGATTCAGTACACCTTAATCTAGGTCTGTACGTTTCTCTTTTTTAGTAATTCAGTTCTTTTTTAGTCATTCAAGTTTAATTAAAAAAATAAAAACGTTCAAGGAAGTTTTTAGGTCAAAAATATAGATATTTAGATGCTAATAACTAAATAGAATCAGGCGTTACTTTGCGAAAATCAATTATATTAAAGTTGGTAATAATTAGCTTGCGTATGTTCGCGAGGTAATTTTTAATTTCTTTAATCTTTAATGCTAATAACTTTTATCGTAAGCAATATTTATTTAAAATAAAAACGTATGGACCTGGTATTTCATAATATCTACAACGTTTCCAAAAATTATGAAAATTAATACGTTGTTTACGGGGGAGGCAAACATTATCGCTTTTTGTATGAAAATTTGCAGCTTCACAATCCTCATTCGACTGCGTATGAAGATATAAGATTAATTTTAAACTTGGTAGGGCCATACTGTAGCTATATTAGTTGTACAGTTGTAGCACGAGTGGATAGGCTCGACCGCGGAAGGACCACGCCTTCACAGAATACTAGCGTGAAACAGCAGCTTAACGCTGTTGTTTTACGCTGGTGCTGTTTCGTATGGTAAGAGTAGAGAAACAGATATCGTTTTTACTGGAAAAGAGGCTTTTCATCTTAGTACTCACGGCAGACAACGCATGTGTGTGCTCGCTTGTCACTCGTACAAGAAAGAGCAAATAAAGATACACAGAACCATACAAAAAAATGTTTACAACTTCATCTGTTCTACATAAAACCTGTTTGTCATAGTAGTGCACTCTAGATTAAAGCGGTACATTGCTTTTATATTGTAGATGCAATGTATTAAAAAGAGGAAACTTACCTAATGTTTTCTCTCCATTGAAAAGCCCTTGGAGATTGATCCAGTAGTCCTTGATAGTTATATCAGTGTCGATATCAGTAAATTCTATGTATTCGACGCCTTCTTTCTCCACCGTTTTAATACGCAGCAGGGCATCGACATTGCATTTTACTAAAATGACAAATTTTAATTTTAAAATTGTTTTAATTAATTAGCCTTAAAATCGAACCATTAATTATGTTTATAAATGCCTCCTAATTACAATCTACGTTTCATTAAAATTTCTCGTGATTTAGAATCTAAAGATGTTACTCATTGATAACTTGATATTGGTAAAATTGGGAGAACAGTTCTAGTGATGGATGATACATGTCGATATTTTTGTGTTGATATCGATACAGGACATTGTGATTGTGGGTATCAATAGATTTGGCAAACGAATTTACAATCGTAGTACCAAACGTTTTAAACCTTTAACGCTATTGTAGCCAGTCTTATGGTGCCTGGTCACTCTTCTGCGGGTACTCTCGCCATGTTTCGCCGAGAGCACTCACGCGAAAAGTCGAGTGACAAGTGTGACCCTGTAGACTCTCGTTTATTCACTACGGTTGCAAGCGCCGCCTAGACGATGGACCCGTCCCAAGTTACAGCAGCTGTTATACCACATGCGTTATCACTTATCAGTTATTATAATTACGTGCACATATACAATACAACAATAAAAAATGGTGTAAACGGTGGTGGTGGATGCTCGCTATGCATTGAACTAGGACAAGGAACCACAGTTTAAAGAAGGTTCTCTTTAACTGTGGACGAATGACGAACGACGCATGCAAGAATGACACACTCGCGTCGCCTCGCGAGGGTAGAGGAGACCCTTTGACTCGCGCATAAAACACCGACTGAGAAGGAAGAGCAGGCGAGGTGAGGCGAGAAAAATAGAGACGAAGCAAGTGTAGTATTATACATATTACACTTGCTTCATCTCTACGCCTGACGCATTTTATCAGCAACCATGCACCTTAGATTGTAATAGTATTTAATTATAGTGTACTATTCATTCTCATATTTTTGTCACCACCTGCTTATTCATGGGATTATTGACTCTCTCGTTATATAGACCTTTACCAATTCGGTCTCTGTTCTTATTTCAAAATTTGGGATCATCCTCCACATATACTGTCGCACTCGTCAAGCCTCGCGGTGTCTCGTAGAAAGTGTACAGCCGGCATTAGTGTTTACCATCTGATATAATATATATATATATATATATATATATATACGAGATGATACTGCCATTTATCGGAGGCCATAATATACTATAACGTGGTATATTAGTAGTTTAGTTGTAGTACGAATGAGTCGGCTCGACCGGGGAAGGACCACGCTCTCACAGAAAACCAGCGTAAAATAGCAGCTCAACGCTGCTGTGTTTCGTATGGTGTGTGTATAGAACCATTTTACTGGAAAAGAGGCATTCCATCTTAGTCCTCATGGGTGACGACGCATCTGCTTTTGTTTCTTTATTGAGGATAAATGTAGATGTCTATGGGTCACAGTAATCATTTACCATCAGGTGGCCTGTGTGCTTGTTTGTCACCCTATCCTATAAAAAATATACAGTATTGATATTTTGCATAAAAGATTTTTTTAATTATTTTGTTAATTATAAGGTACATGAGGGTAATATAGTCACCTTAAGCTTTTTCGCCCTATATAAACAAAACTAGGAGGAGGACAAATACAAAAATACAATATCGTAAACTATAACTAATATATTATGAAAAAAATAGCAAATAAGCCTTGGCAATAATTAGGAACACTTCGAAAAATCAACTCAAAAAAAAAACTACACTACCCAATACTAAAATCGACTGAAATATTTTATATAATATCAAAGGTTAAAATGGCGTCAATAAAACGGCGCCCTTTGACCCTTTATTATTTGAATGACTGATGAAGATTTATCGTATCACAAAACCACCTATCCAAACAAGGCTGTAGTTTTTGAGTTATAAGAAAGTGACCATATTAACCGGATGACCATATTACCCTCACGTACTATATATAAAATCGGAAGTTTTAAACAACTTTTACGAAAGATAAATTTACGCTCGAAGTGGACTGATAATGGCTAGTTTCTTATATTCCCACCATTGCAAGTTTACAATATTTTTTTAAGTACAATATTTTTAACGAAAACGCTGAACGTGTATGTACTCGTAATAAATCCGTGTTTATTTTGCATCGCAATGCATAATTTATTTTGCTCAGAGCTGAGTCGAGTTTTTAATGCATATTTCTAATGCTTACGAAGGTGAACGTAATTTGCCGTTAATTACAAACAAAATTTAAATTTATATTTTTTAAATGTTCTTTAATATAAACATCAACCTGCAACGAACCTGGACATAGGCGTCCGCCACGTAATTGTTAAGTGATTAAAGAAGAAAGAAGATGGTAGAAGGTAGGTATTAAGAAGAAGCAAGAAGAAAGAGTTGTGTACACCTACCACTGTCTCAAATCATCCAGGGATGACTGGTAGAGAATGCCATAAGACATTAAGTCCGACCTCTATATCCCTTATTATAAGGTGTATAATAAAGATTAAATAAAAAAGGCTTAGAAGGTGCTCCGAATCCTCAGCTTAAATATCAACGGCTCGGTTGAACAAAATATCGAATTTTAGAATTACGGGTATTGATACTTCTTAGTATATGCTCGGATTATTTTACATACATGAAATACTCAACCAAATATGCAAGCAGCGAAGAAGGTCTGCTCACAAATAAAATAGTTATCACGCTTTATGTTTTATTCAAAACGTAAACTACCCACATTACGAGAAGCAGCGTTATAGGTGCAAGGTATGTAATACTGCGATCGACAATCAGACAGATTGTCGATCGAGAGATCACCAAGTGGCAATTATAACAAACCTTCGCCAGAAACCTACGTAGGTTGATGAAGAAGAATAATGTTATAAATAATAATAATATTTTATTTTTCATTTTAATTAATCTAAGGTATGTGTTATTTTTTTGTAATATATGATTTAATATTTCTTTAGGAAACTAAGGAAAACACTCACTAGCATCAGCTACAAGAGTCCCTTCACCTCGAATTGGCAGTAGCAGGAACTGAATATCCACTTTGTATTTCCCTTCGAAGTGCAGTCTTGGAAAACGGACGCGAGCGCGGACTGTCATTTTATCTAGATCGACACTGGAATGAAAGTTTGAAATTGTATTAGTGAATTTATGTACTGCTATATTTCTTGGACAAAGTATGAAAATTTATCCAATGTATAGTTAATCCATCGACAAAATTTTCATAATGTCTACAAAAACGTGGTACGTGTTAGAGCCATGCTGCAGCTATATTAGTAGTATAGTTGTAGCACGAATGGGTCGGCTCAAACGGGGAAGGACCACACTCTCATAGAATACCAGCGTAAAATAGCAGCATAACACTGCTGTGTTTCGTATGGTGAGTGTAGAGAACCGGAGACCCTTTTTACTGGAACAGAGGCATTCCATCTTAGTCCTCACGGGTGACAACGCATCTGCATTTTAATTCTTTATTGAGGATAGATGTAGATGTCTATGAGTCACAGCAACCACTTACCATCAGGTGGACTGTGTGCTCGTTTGTCACCCTATCCTATAAAAAAACTTATTAATAACTAAAAGATCACTTGTAAAATAATTAAATAAATAGAAATTATACAGAAACCAAAGCCAAGCCGTGGGATGGCATCAAAAAAGTCATATGGCCAAATACTCAAAGAGCCGACGGCAGGGAACAGCCTCATTGGTGCGGGATATCCGGTACTGTCACACCGCCTGCCAAACCAAAAAAGGCGAAGCTCTACAACGCGTGAGGTTCATGTCTAGCTGTTGATAAATCTATAAAATTTGTTTTATTCAACGTCGAGTATTCGTGTGTATACATTCAAAGAGTAACCAAGTTTTAAACTTAAGTTTAAATATATAAATAATGATATACCTTTATCACAGTATAATATACTGTAATAAAGGTATATGATTAATGCGAGTAAATAAGGCTTTTACATTTATTTGAAATTATTCCAAATTGAATGTGATTTATGGGCAACAACATTTTTGCGTACCGATCGACCCTTACGAATGTATGCGTGCGTAGCAAAATCTAAAAGATCTAAAAGATAAAAAGGACAGAATGTTTGATTTTTTTAATTAATTTTATTCACCATTTGCCGATATTACTTAATCTGAACCCTCTCTGTAAATTTGGCCGGTTATTGCACAATAACTTGAACGAAATCACTAGCTGTGGAATTAGAAATAATATAAAGAAGTTCAAGATAGCTAAACGTTGCCTGAAAGTAATAAATGCGATGCTATGTTTATAGACAACCGAGTTGGAAATTACCTTGCCTGTAAAGCTCTAGGTTGCTAGAGTTGTTTAAGTCTAGATCGATTAATTCATTCATTTCTTTATATTTTGAAAATGAATGAACCACTAAATCTGCATTAGAACCGCGCTATTCAAACTTCTTTGTAACATATAAGAAGCCACATAGCAGCAGGGAACAAGCCTCGATTTATTTGAAATCACTTGTATAACATGACACGTAAGGAGGTCAGAAAGAGAGCCGTTAGTAACACTCTGTCACCATCTCTTCCCAGTGTCTGATTAAGACTACTTAATACCTTAGGCAATCCACGCCTATGAGCCCCTTATCCACTACTAAACTACAGGTCTTTAAAATTTTTTATTTATTAATTGCAAGATGAATCATTACTTTTTATGTACATAAGAGTTTTAATAGATATAAAGAGATAAAAACCTAGTAGAGTATTTTAATAAAAATCAAACCATACAATTTCTTTATTACTTATGAAAATGCGACTCGCGACTTTCCCAGACTGCGGATTCGCGAACAATAGTGTCAAAGGTAATTTTTCTTAGCATATCTGCCTTGTCAAGCAACATCGATATATTGTAGCATTATAATTCGTTTTTCAATTTATTGCAATTTGTTTTTAAAAAGATCGTGTGGACATATCGATACCATCAAACAAAAAAACAATTCTGTGTTATTTAAGGTGTCCCTTGAGAAATGTTGCCCTACACTAATCCGACACTGTTTCTTCCCGTGGATATCTCGTTAGTATCTTTTAGAAAAATGAAATAAAATCACCGCTTAACTAAACATTAGCCAAATCTCACTGAAAGTGCAAGATAGTGGGATAGGACTTAGAATCAGAGACACAATAAAGCAAAACCCAATTTATGACTTTACAGGATTGGCAAGTCAAGTTCTACACAAGTTATGTAACTATATTAAGACTAAAGAGTATAGTAATGCATAAGACCACGTGATCAATAGACGTAATGTAACTAACAAAGTACCTATCCACCAAAAAAAATTGAAATATAACCACGCTGAATGGCTCGGTTCGTGTTTAACCGATCATGCGGGGAGATCTGTTTATGACTGTGCCTTGGTATATGGTCTAACACAACTGGTTACTTCGTCTACGCCGATTCCGGATGTGGAGAATCATACACCGTCCCTGTTGACCTTCTGCTGACCTCTCATCCGGACGGATATCAGGTTTCCGTCGATGCCCCTCTCAGCTCTTCGGACCATTGTCTGATCTGGAGTGTCATGCCACTCACGCTCCCCTAGCGGTTGCGTTCTGCAGGTTGTCGCCGTGTTTGGCATTACAGGTCGACGGATTGGGACGGAATGCGGTCTTTCTTTGCATCCTACCCATGATGATGGGTTTGCTTCTTGCCGGATGATCCCAGCACTGTTGCTGACTCTGTCACCGATGTGGTGCTAAAGGGAATGGAACTATTTATTCCATCATCTGTGACATCCATCGGTGGCAGATCTCAACCATGGTTTGGTCGCTCCTGTAAGACTGCATTACGCAGTAAGCAGGAGTGTTATCAGGCCTGGGCTGAGGCTCGGGATGTAAACACCAGCATGCTTAAAAAGAAGTATAACTTCGCCTCCAGATCCTTCAAAAGAGTTATTGCCAGGGCAAAGTCAGAGCACTAGCGAGAAACTAGTTCGCCTTCCTTCGGGAACCCGTGCATTCTGGTCTCTCACCAAGGCTGTCCAAGGGAATTTCTGTAAGCCATCACTACCATCTCTACACAGGGAGAATGACTCACTAGCCCACGCCACGAAAGAGAAACCCGACCTTTTTAGTTCCTTTTTTGCGTCCAACTCAACTCTTGATGACAGGGGGAATACACCGCCGACCATCCCGCAATGTGAATGCTATATGCCTGTGCGATTCATACAGTGCTCAGTATGCAAAGCACTCCTTTCCCTGGACATCCACAAGTCGTGTGGGCCTGACGGATTCCCGCCAATTGTGCTGAGGACGTGTGCTCCAGAGTTGGCACCAGTTCTAATGCGAAAACGTCGCCGAGTACCGGAACAAACTTGTGTATGAAGTCGAGACTTTATTGAACAAAGTCTCGGTTTGAGGTCGACTAAATCTAGTCCAGTTCAATTCCCAGAAGACACAAGTTTGCGCGTTTACCACTAAAAGGAACACCTTTGTCGTATCTCTTCAGTTTCAAGGCACTCCCCTTGTTGCCTCAGCCAGTATAGGAATCATCGGCGTCGACATATCGAGTGACGTCCAGTTTCGTGGTCACTTGGAAGAGAAGGCTAAATTGGCCTCTAAATAGCTTGGCGCGCTCAGCAGAGCGAGACAGTATTTCATACCGGCACACCACCTGCAACTTTACAAGGCGCAGGTTCAACCTCACATGGAATACTGTTTCCATCTCTCGGCAGGGGCTCCCCATGCCAGCTCCTTCCACTTGACAGTATCCAGCGCAGAGCGTTTCGAATAGTCGACGACCGAGTTCTGTCCGATTGGCTTGACTCATTGGCACTGAGTAGAGATATTGCACCTCTTTGCGTATTTTATCGCATGTACTACGGGGACTACTCTGAGGAATTGTTCGGACTAATTCCAGCCGCTCAATTTCAGCAACGTAAATCGCGACAAAGCTCGTGATACCATCCATACCATCTGGATGACTGGCGGTCCACCACTGTGCGATTTAGAAGATGTTTTCTTCCTCGCACAACTTCCTAGTGAAATCGATTACCACCAGCGATTTTTCCAAACCGATACGACTTAGGGACCTTGAAGAAAAGAGCCTACTCATTTTTAAAAGGCCGGCAACGCATCTGCAATTCCCCTGGTATTGCAGTTGTTCATGGGCGGCGGTAGTCACTTACCAACAGGTGAGCTGCATGCTCGTTTGACTTCTCTCCTATAAAAAAAAAACATTACACCGTTAGTTATACCGTTACAGCCTATTAAAGTCCACTGCTGAAAATTGCCTCATAGGGGATATTTACCATAGTTGCCACGCTCTGCAAGCGGGTTGACAAACACAGTTTTTTCTATTTTTGTCGTTATTAGGAAGACGTTGCCCATCTCCTGATTTATTTCCTTCTGTTGCCTCTTACGACACCCACAGGATAATATGGGATAGTGAATATTCTTACACCGCCACTACACGGTAAATCACATTAAATTAATTTAAATTACATCTACTGTAATTTACTAGAACTAATCACAGTCGTTGGAAACCAGTTCTAATAAAAAAGCAAACAATTCATGCAATTTATAACAGATGGCTCTGTATGGCATGGTATAATTTGAAAATAAATTATACTAATTTATTAGGTAGAGAAGACGATGACGTCTTCAATGAACGGACAAGATAATTTCACCACGTACCATTAGATGACTTTGAATTTCAATTACTGTAATTTATAAATCAACGTTGTAATTAAGTAGGTAGTAGCACAAATTAGAAAATTATATCAAATAAAACTAATCTTACGGATGTTATTACGTCTAATTTAAGTTAAGGATACATAAAAGTCTGTTTTTATTTATTTATTCCATATTCATCATATTCTCTTTTCTGTATTGTTTAAACTTAAAAATATGTTGATGGTAAGCAATTCACGAAATTTTAAATAAACTTGCACTCAAAACAAGATACGTAGTAGCTATTTTATGTAATTGCCGTTAGTAAATTTGCTGATGTGTGGCGGTATATCCTACATAATATGGAAGAGTACCATAACCAGCAGCTGATAACGGATGACCCGACCACACGTTCTTTCCCGTGGTGTGTCGATGTATTTACAAGCCACAACCATTACGCTGCTTTTTTTTTCTAATGTAATAAATACTAAGAATTTGGTAAGACTTTCCAATTAGTTCTCAGAGGTGACAGCGCACATGTCCAATTCCTCGTTTCAATTATGTCCACTTACCATACCGGAAGCGCAGTTTACAAGTCAAACTAGTTAGGATTGCTCGGATTTGGGCGAACATTTGAAGGTGGATTGTTTGACGGTTGTATTATGTAATGACAATAATAAAATTGAAAATAGCTAGAGAAAATTATCCTGGTGATCCCGATCAGGATAACAGGTCCTTGATACGAGTGAAGATTTTCAAGTCAATCGGTTGTCTACAAGTTGGTGACAATGACATTAAAAGATTCCGTTACAGAGAAAGGTAGATAGGTGATATACGCGAAGCTAAAAAAAGCGTGTTATAAAATATAATAACACATAATACGATATCGTAGTATGATAAAAATGACTCACAAAACACTTTTTATCGTGAAATTTCCGGCTCCAGAAACTACGATATCTTTACCCACCGCTTGGAAAGCTCTCATGTTTTTCCCGACGGGCGGAGATATCTGGAAAATAATTAATATTTTAGTTTGTATGATAAAAATTGATAGTTCGGTATCGCGGTGGCTGAGCGTTATGGACCCTGTGTGCAAATCCTGTACATAATAACTATTTATATAGCCTATTATATTATATCATCACTTATAAATGCGATTAAAAATTTCAGTAATACCAGTGGAAACGCAAATTTTAGGCGGGACAATAATTCATTCGATTAAGAATTTTATTGTATATGGTCACCCAAGGCAAGTGTAACAGTGGAACAAGTGTTACAAATGCAAATTATGCGGCATAAACAAGTTTTTTGGTCAAATTCCATACATTGAACAACGCAGGAACTTTTACGCTATTGACTATACCAACAGTTAAGTACATAACTTCATCTATTTTATCGACAGACGTCATTTTTTTTAAACTACTCAGAAAACTTGTCCCATGTGAGGGAAAACTCATTGTTTCACAAAAATGGACGTTCTAAACCTTTTTAGATCTTAAAATATTTTGACATTAGTATCATCGTTTCAATTTTGTCGAAAACCACAGATAATAATAAAGTAACTACAAAAAATAGCGAACTGTCACACTTGCCTCATTGATGGGATAAGTGTGACAGCTTTCCAACTTAATTAGTTTTAATTACCTTAAATTACAAAATGCTACTTGTAGATAATAAAATGATCAAACAAACAAGCACCTAATAATTAAACTGATTTCTCTATGTAAAACCCTTACAGAGTAGAAGTATTTAAATGTCCATTATAGTTTTTTTAGGTAAAGCCCTAGTGTGGGATGCTACTTGCGTAGACACTCTAGCGGCCTCTCATCTCAGGGGTACCTCGTTTAGAGCCGGGGCGGTATCAGAGGCAGCTGAACAGAGTAAGTGGCGCAAATATGAGCCTCTGAGAGATGACTACATATTTGTGCCATTTGCTGTAAAGACTATCGGTCCGTGGGGTCCACGTGCGTTGAAGTTCCTAAAGGAACTCCATCCGCGGCTGGTCGTTGCTGCTGGTGATAAGAGGGCTGGTTCTTTTCTCGATCAAAGGCTAAGTATAGCCATTCAGCGGGGAAACGCAGCCAGCGTTTTTGGCACGATACCGCGGGGAGTAGGACTATATGATAATTAAGTTTCTAGTTTTAGTTTTTTTTTTATTCTTATAGTTTTTAATTTTGTATATAATAAAATGTTTTCAAAATGGATATGTGTAAAAATATATATACATTTAATTATTTCGTAAATCACTAACATAAATGTTTTAATTCGTTTATGTCACACTTGCCTCAGTGACTATACTTGCTTGCGCGTTGCTGCCACAGAAGAAATGATTGTTGTAATATCGTTTTAAATTTGGTGGAATTATATTGTTTAATTAGGAATGATAATACATTCACTGACGTTCAATGATATATAACTTTCAAGTAAATTTCTCGGTACGATTCGCTCGCCACGCTACTATGCCTATAACCTTCCCGCAAGTGCAAGCAATAAGTTGACAACGTTTTACCGCAATCTGATGAATGTAAATTAATTTTTAATTATTAGATTTTATGCATGCGCATATTTTTTTTCGAATACAATTTCCAAGAAGAATTTCCGATATATAATTTCAAGAATTATCAATTCTCGAGCGTCAAAATTGTGTTTAAAATACGATATTTTGTCCAAACTGAACTTAAATTGAGCGGCCAACCCCCGAGTTCTAAGAGGAGGGTAGATTTTTAGGCTCTGACGTGCGGGACTACCCAAGCTACGACACTGGTATGGTGGGTGAAAATAAAGTCAGTCTGATAGTATTACTAAATTGGATAATCTAAGCTATTATTCTTAGCTATTATTCCTAAGCTATTGCCAATATATCATTCTGACTATATTACTAAACTAGCTATTTCCCATGACTTCGCCCGTGTATAATTTATTACAATTGTATTTCAAGTGTTTTAATTTTTTTACGCGGAACCCTAATACTTTTTGAAAACAAAAATAGCCGAAAGTTACTTCTTATAACACAAGCTAGTTCTGCCAGTGAGTCCCGTCAAAATAAGTCCAGCTATTCCGGAGATTAGCCGGAAAAACAGACAGACAGACAGATAAAAGTTTAAAAAATTGTCTCTTTGTTATTAGTACCGTATATACTTTCATATGCATTTAGTAAAAAAAGCTGTTGTTTTGACATTACAAACAGACAATTCAATTTTATTTATTTGTATAGATTGCCTAAGCTATTACCACTATATCATTGTGACTGGAGTTCCGGAAAAATCCGGAGTATTAATCGCTGTTCACAAAGCTTATAAAGAACAATTTGTAATGCCATAACCGTGTAGTGGCGGTGTAAAAATACCCACTACCCCATATCGTCCCGTGGGTGTAAGATGCGACAGAGGGAAACTAAAACAGATGGGCAGCAACATCTTCCTGATAACAGCTGAATAAAAATAAAAACACCGCGGTTGCCAACCCGCTTGCTAAGCGTGGCAACTACGGCAACATCCTTACGAGGAAATATTTGGGGGAGGCCTATGTTTAGCAGTGCACTTTTATAGACTTTTATTTATACACTAGCTGTTCCCCGCGACTTCACCCGCGTGTAATTTATGATTATATTTTTTTTTTGCGCGGGACCCTAATTATTTTTCTAAAATTAAAGTAGCCTAAGTTACTCCTTTAATATCAGCTATCTGCCAGTGAAAATCGCGTCGAAATCGGTCCAGCCGTTTTGGAGATTAGCCGGAACAAACAGACAGACAGACAAAAATTTAAAAAAATGTGTTTTTGTTATAAGTTCATATGCATTTAGTAAAAGGCTATTATTTTGACATTACAAACAGACACTTCAATTTTATTTATGTGTATAGATTTATGAATTGAATATTACAAACTGGTACTGCTGACATTCGGCATTTATTTCAGACTATTTATTAATTTTTTTTAAATTTACGTCCACATAAATAATAATAAGCTGTATTTTTTGGATTTACTAATCTTTGATACAGAATACACTCGCGCTCTATACGTATTTAAAAATATATAATCTAACGGCGGCCTAAGAGAACCCATCATCCCATTTCGTCCCGTTTTCGACATAAGAGACAACTATGACAAATGCTATCTGCAACCGACGGCATATAATCTACTGAAAAGAGATGATCTACTAAAATCTACTGCTGAGATGTTGTACAAGAGCATTTAATGTGCATACTGATAGTTATTAAGCTATGTGTGTGTGAGTACCAACGCGTATATGCCAAACATAATTTAAAATTAAAAATTTTGTACAGCCGACTTCAATATAAGTTATTACGAATAACTCAAAAACTATTGGCTTGACCTTGATCATATTCATATGGGACCACACGAGCTGGTACAGCTTTCAAATAAAAAAAGAATCATCGAAATCGGTTCACGCAGTAAAAAGTTATGAGGTAACACAAATAAAAAAACATGCAATCGAATTGAGTACCGTCTCCTTTTCGGAAGTCGGCAGAAAATACCCATACGTCAAAGGTGTGAGACGTTTGGTATTACATTCTTCAATGCATTTTCCAGCCAGTGAGAGGTTTATATATAGCCGTTGGTTTTTAAAAGCCAATAAAAAAAGAAGAAATGTTTCTTTTTTAATAAAATTGAAGTGACAAATTAACGTCCAGTTCACCTGATGATGAGTGACTATAGCAGTTCAGCACGGCTAGCATGAGCTGGGGACAAAAAATTTATCCCCCGATTATATCCAATGACAAGGGATAAAATTATCTTGTCCTTATACCAAAGCACGGCTACGGGGAGAAGTATATCCTCGTTTGACATAACGAGTAGACATATATCCCCCGTTCGTACCATGGAGCCAAATGAAAGATAAAAAAATTATACTTTTTTGCCATTTAAAAGGGATAATTTTATCCTAGTTCATTGGACGTGGTTTTAAGTTTATATTTATACAAAAGATCTATCTAAGTGTAAGTCATCTCCCATTTATTCTACTGTGGATATTATATCCACCGTTGCGTTGTGCCCATGATCGAAGGGTGGATAAAACTAAACGAGGGGATAAACATTTTCTCATTTCCTCGGGGATAAAATCGTCTCCTGCCCATGCTAGCCCTGCTGGGATATTAAGGGTTAAAGATGTGCTGTAACTTCTGAGGACTAAGATCTAAGATGCAATGATTAACAACCGATGGTTATACCGGCTCCCTTATACCCTATAGACCGGAACAAAGCAGTGCGCGCATTGCTGCTTGACGGCAGAATTGGGTAAAAGAATCGTACCTACTCAGACAGCCTAATAGGCAGAAAAGGTGTCCTACCTCCAGGTAAACCTGTTGTTGATAAATATATTTCTAAAATAATTGCATTATTGTGGAATAACATATTAATTAACGCTTGTCAACTCGTGCACTCTCAGAAAACCCAGGTTCTCATTTATATCTTAAGGAAAGATTGCAATTTATTTTTTCAACTCATGACAGAGTTCAGCGGTCCTCGTCTAATCATAAAACTAGTGTTCCAACACATTTCACTGGATTCTCTAGGAAATACTTCACTGTTCAGGTTACTCTACTCTGGAATTCCTTACCCGTTAATATATTCATTACCCGTAATTTTATAAAATTGACTGGCAGAGAATGCCGACAGTCATTAAGTTCGCCCATTGTTACCTTAGGTTGTAAGGTGTTACAATATATAATAAATAAAATTTAGGCTAGGGCGTCCTCAAAAGTGGCAACACATTAAAGCCCTCTTTATTTAGAGTTGGCTGGAGTGTCCATGGACTGCTGTTAATGTTTTATTCCATGGATGCGAAAAAAGGCGACTATGAGAGATCTCATAGCTTCCGATAAATGGTGGTAAAACCACATTTAATGTTATATAAAAATACAATTTACCTCAGAAATGTAGAAAGGGTCTATACTAGGCACATTTAGATCTGGAATGCCTTTAAGCAGTTTCGATCGTAGCTGCTCTATGGATTCGCGCACACATTCATTTATGGTCTCCTGATCACGCTTGCATACTTGTATGTAGTCCGCTAAAATCAAAGGACACAGTTAAAAATTATCACAGTTCGATTTCCATAATATTAGAGAGAGAGAGAAAGAGAAAAACTGTGCGGTGCAATTTTTTTTTAGCTCTTTTAAAAAACGTTACCCCCACACTAGGATTTTCTCCTGTGTCGTGGAGGCAGTTTACAAACATAAATTGCACAAGGACAAACATCCAGACCCGGAACAATTATTTGTAGGCCATACAAATACTTGTTCCGTGCGGGATTCGAACCCGCGGCCCCCAGCGCAACAACTGATTGCTAAGCCACTGCACCACGGAGCCGTCGCTGCGGTGCAATTTTCCTTAGACGTAACATAGTTCGTATGATATGAGGCTATGCAATGAGCTCGCTGCTCTTCGCATAGCCTTATATCAGTCCTGCTGACAGTTGAACGGACGTATTACACACATACTGAGCTATTCTTCTAACATGACTAAGTATAAAAAATAATCTTTAAAAATGCATAAAACTACTTTGAAAAAACAAATAAAATGCCGCCTAGTATAAGAAAAAAAACACGTTCATTGTAGTTAAAGCATGCAGCACAAGATATAAAAAGTAATAATATCATTAACAATATCGTAACTTTAATAAAATACACTTAATAAACTCTGTTCTGCGGCACGAAACTTCGAAATAGACACGTCTCAATGATAGCACTGGGTTTAAGTCCGGCCCAAAGTTAAATAGCTTGTTAAGTCGGTGCGAAGACATACTGAGTCGGTCCTATTACAATAAGTAGTTCGTAATTAGTTTCACGTTTAAACTGGAATCTGTTTCACGAAAGTACCGCAAAATATGCGTACAATAACTTAAATTTAAAAAAATTAAAATCCCCCGAAACAAAAAGAAGTGATGATCTAAACTAAACTATACGGACAACTAAACGGCTGAATAGGTTTTCTTGAAACGTAGCTAAGAACACTCTCGGTTAAGACACTTTTCAAATGAAAAAAAATTAAAATGGGTTCATCCGATCAGGAGCTGTGATGCCACAGAGAGACGCACAACAAACATAATATATACAACCCTCTTTTTTCGTTAGGGTTTAAAAACTATAAAGTTTGATAGCAAATGCCAAATTTTGTGGAGGCTATGACGCCGCAGCCAAGGTACTTCTTTAGTTAAAAGGACTCTGCTTAAACCATAGTTAATACCTGAGACTAATGATAAAACATTTTTGTAATAAAACGGAGTATATGTACTATTTAACAAGTGGTAAAATTAAAAATTTTGTACAACCGACTTCAATACAAATAATTAAAAATTAAAAATTTTGTACAATCGACTTCAATATAAATTATTAAGAATAACTCAAAAACTATTAGTCAGACCTTGATCAATTTTATATGGGACTACATGGGAAGCACCAGATTACAAAAAAAAAAGAATTATCGAAATCGGTTCACCCAGTAAGAATTTATGAGGTAACACACATAATTATATGTTATATTATATGTTCAGCAGTGGACTTGTGAAGGGCTGTAATGATGATGATGATGATGACACATAAAAAACACACAGACGAATTGAGTACCGGCTCCTTTTTGAAGTCGGTAGATAAAATAAGAACATCATCAATATATGTAGTCGAAGTCAATTCCTAAATACGCATTATTAAGGATAACTCAAAACTGCTGGTCAGATCTCCACGCATGCATCATGAGAAGCACCATCTTTCAAATAAAAAAAGAATCATCAAAATCGGTTCACCTACAAAAAAGTTCTGAGGTAACACATTAAAAACACAGTTGAATTGAGTACATACCTCATCCTTTTTTTTGAAGTCTGCAAAAATCGGCAAAGTCCTAATGTTACCTAGCTGCTACACGCGCATTATATTCATTAATTTTATTCTGCCTATAAAAAGTCCCCTCTTGAACATATTATATCATAGATTGCCTTATATTTTCTACCGACTCCAAAAAGAAGACGGTACTCAATTCGACTGTATGCTTTTTTATGTGTGTTACCTCAGAACTTTTTACTGGGTGAATCGATTTCTATGATTCTTTTTTTATTTGAAAGCTGGTAATCAAGGTCTAACCAAGCTATTCTTAATAATTTATATTGAAGTTGGTTGTACAAAATTTTTAATTTTTAATTATTGTACTTATATTTGTGTGTAGTTTTGTATTTATACTTTTGGCGGGATTTTGCCACAGTTGTTAAGCTTGGCAGGCGGGTCGGCAACCGCAGTTTGTTATGATTTTGAATTGTTATCAGGACAATGCTGCTGCCATTCTCCTATTTCAGTTTCACTCGGTCACCTCTTGCGACACCCACGGGATAACGTGGGGTAGCGTATTATTTTATGGTGCCTCTACAACGACACATTAGCGACTTGTGTACATGAATCAAAGTTTGAGCTATTCGGTTCAAAACGAAGAATTTACGTTCGACACAGTGACCAAGAAAAGATGATGCCAGACTGTGTAGTCCCAACAATCATAAATGGTGGTGGCTCAATTATAGTCTGGGGTTGGGTTCTTGTAAATTTATTCTTAGAACCAACACGTATTGCTGGGCCTAGTGCGACCTGTATAGATAACATTTTTACAGATGTTAAGCCCTTGCATAAATCAATTATTCAAAATTTAAGTTCAGATCACTGTGGACAGTTGGTATCACTACCTTACATACACAAAAAACAGAAAAATAAGAAAGTTGTGTTTGTTCCAATAAATGAACATCGCTTGGAGAGGTTTAGAAGTAATATAATAAAAAGACTTCCATCACTTTCGTTTAAAAATAGTGCTAATTATTTGTATGCTACATTATTTGAAATTATAAGTTGTGAATTTAGTAGAATATTTACTTCTAAAACTTTCTCTTTGAACAGTCGCAAATCATTTAATGAATGGGCGACAGTAGGAATTTATAAAAGTAGGCGAAGGTTATACGAGCTTTATGATGAAAGATCATATAATAGTAGTGTTATATTTAGAGATTATGTAAAAACATATTCTAAAATATTTAAAAAAGTGTGCTCCACTGCTAAGGCTTTACATTTAAGCAACAAAATTAAAACTGCATCTGACAAAATTAAAATGACCTGGAGAATAATAAATAGTGAAACGCGCAAGGTCAAATCGCGCAACTCGGATTTTCAATTGAATATTAACAATAATTTAACGCGATCTGATCAAGAAGTTGCTATGGCTTTTGAGAAACATTTTACTGATGTTCCTTTTTTGACAACAAAATCATTAAATTCTTCACCTACTGTCGCCGAATCATTGCTCAAACAAAATGTAAAGGCTTGTTCAAATACTTTTAAATTCCATAGAATACTGCCAAAAGATATCGTTAAATATTTTAAAACGATTGATGTTAAGAAAACGGCAGACTTATGGGGGATTTCCGTTAAAGTTATTTTATCTATAATAGATATATTAGCACCTTATCTAGCCACTATATTTAATATAAGCGTCGAATCTGGTGTGTTTCCTGATTTAATGAAACATAGTAAAGTCATACCTATATTTAAATCTGGTAGTACATTAGACCCCGCCAATTTTAGACCATTTTCTGTACTACCAACATTAAGTAAAATTTTTGAAAAAATTATTTTAGATCAGATGTTAAGTTACTTTAATATTAATAAATTGCTACATAAAAATCAATTCGGTTTTACAAGGGGTCGCTCGACAACTGACGCTGGAGTTGAGCTTATTAAACATATTTTATGTGCATGGGAGAATTCAGATGATGCTTTGGGTATATTTTGTGACCTTTCCAAGGCCTTCGACTGTGTTCACCATGAGACATTAATCAGGAAGCTACAGTACTATGGTGTCAAGAACACAGCGCTTAAACTTATTATTTCATATTTAAGTAATAGAAAACAGAAGGTTATTATCAATGGTAAAAGTTCTTCCGGGTCACCTGTACTAATGGGTGTTCCTCAGGGCTCGATTCTCGGCCCATTCCTGTTTCTGGTGTATATTAATGACTTACCTCACCTTGTAGGGGATAGTCATGATATAGTATTATTTGCTGATGATACTTCCTTGATTTTTAAACTTAAACGTCAATCATTTAAATGTGACGAAGTGAATAATGCTATATCAAAATTAGTGCATTGGTTTAACGTTAATAATCTGCATTTGAACGGAAATAAAACTAATTGTGTTAAATTTACAACAACGAATGTTAAAAATCTGAATACCAATGTGTTTTAAATGGGGAGGAATTGAGCCCTGTTGTATCCACTGTTTTTCTTGGCATCACTCTTGACGCAAAGCTCCAGTGGGGCCCCCATATATCCAAATTAGCAAGTAGACTAAGTTCTGCAGCCAATGCTGTAAAAAAGATTAGAGGTCTCACTAGTGTCGAGACAGCTAGATTAGTTTATTTTAGTTATTTTCATAGCATAATGTCTTATGGGATTTTGCTATGGGGAAATGCGGCTGATTCAGAAACTATTTTTGTTTTACAGAAGAGGGCCATTAGAGCTATTTACAATCTAAAACCGAGAGAGTCTCTTAGAGATAAATTTAAAGAAATTAATATATTAACTTTGGCCTCTCAGTATATTTACGAAAATTTAATGTATGTGCACAAAAACAAAGATAGTTTTAGTAAAAAAGTGATATACATTCTGTAAACACTAGGAACAAACACAAGCTAGCGATGCCAGTTTCTCGACTCCACAGAGTCAGTAATTCATTCTTGGGGCAATGTATACGCTATTACAACAAGGTACCGGAAAGTGTACAGGTTCTCTCTATTACCAAGTTTAAATGTTTTATTAAGCTGAAACTGTATAAAAAGGGTTATTATAGTATAAATGAATACATGGTTGATAATAACCCCTGTGAATGAGGTGGTCGCTTCCAAGCAGTTACTAAAATAAATTTTGTAAATAATTCGTAATTATTTATATTGTAAAATTTATTTTAAAAAAAAAGTCCCGCTGGGTTTCTTGCTGGTTCTTCCCAGGACAGAGGGTTTTTTTTCGAACCAGTGGTAAAGTAAAA